GATAAAATTGCATTCCAAGTGGATCTGAGCAAGTAATGAGAACCTCATGGGCTGTAATCATTGTTTGCCTATTCAAGACCCAAATTACATTTCACATCATTTATTGCTCTAGTTCTGGTCTGAACTGTGTGAAATCTTGTTTTTATTTTTAATTACCAGCTTTAGAGTATTCAGATAAATATAATCTCTGTTCAGTCAGTAGAAGAGATAGTGGAAAAATAAAGCAAAGCTGAGCTCGATTTGCAGTCTGTCTGGGGAGCTCAATGACCAGAGGAGCTTCTGTCTTGACCAGACAGCCCTGATTTTAAGGCATCATCCAAAGTGTCACTGGTAAATTATATGGAATTATTTCATTGTTTCCTTGCTCTTTGGTTTTATTGCTTTTCAGCTGAGCAAGAGGTTGTGCTCTTTTATGACATGGAGTTCAATTACATTGAACTCTCTAAATATTTCATAAATTGCCATGGGTACAAAGACAAATCCATCAGTATCTGACTAGTATCTAGATAAGACACCTCCATATGTAGGCACTGTACAGGACAAACTGCACACAAACTTGCTGTCACAAGGTTTTTATATTAAGCTTTTAAAATTCAGGACAAAAAAAAAAGCTAAAAAAGAGATACTTTGCTTGGGTTTATTCCAAATGCAGGAGGAGCAGTTTCTTGTGTTGAGAGTGACTGTACTCTCTTTCAGATTTTGTTTGCTGTCTGAGGAATGATTTGCTAAAAATATTAGCCCAGACAGATGAAAGAAGAACCTCTTAAATCTCCCCCAAGTCATGTATTAAGGGTTTCATTAATACATAGATAATGTTTAAGACAGTTTTACCTTTCACTTCTTTTTAGGCTGCGAGTTGGCTTAGATGATACTAAGAGTTATTTAAAGTGCATATATTCATACACACTTTCAGAGCAGGCAGCTGTACATAGTAATTCCATTTACTGACTGATAAATAGTGGATCATGCATTTATATTACATGTTTATGCCTTTAGGGAAAGCTTTCATATCAGTGCAGTGGAATTTTTTTTCCCCTCAAGGAAAATGATCAATGTGGAAAAGCCTCTTCCTCGTGGTTAAACACAAACATGAGTCTGATCAGCAGCCTGTAATCAGATCTTGTGGGGAATTTCTCAAGAATAATTGTCCCAAAAATTGGCATTTCCACCAGGATTAATGTTAATATTTCAAATTGATATTTGAAACATTGAGAACATTGCTAGGTATTAATAAAAGGCCCTGGAAGATTTAGATTTGCTTTGGCTTTTCATTTTAAAGAGGAGGTTTTCAAAGGTACTTGGTTTTGCTTACAAGGCTTGTGAAATCTTGGCCATCCTGATATTGAAGGAACAGTGAAGCATATTAAATAGACCAAGTTAAATCTCTGGCTGTACTTGTAATTTACCTCCTGATATGAAGCATCTTCTCACTTTTCCCTCATCACACTCATCCTCACCCATAAATCCTCACCCTTTCCAGCACTCCATGTCTGGGTGATTATCTTCTGCCATGTCTTGGGAGTTTGGAGGATTCATTGAACAGGAGAATTTTAAGCCCTAATAAAGAGATGACCCAGATATTCAAACCTGCTTAGTGGCCTCAAATGTCTAATGTGCTAGGGGAAATTGGGTGGCCAGATAGGCTGTGCTAAAATTCCCAGTCTGCACTTGGTGTATATGGCTGAATTTAAAACTGAGTTTATTGAACAACAGAGGAACTACAGCTGCTAAGGTGATAAAACCTTTCAAAGGAAAGAGAATGGGACCTTAGAGGGGGAATTGATTTCATATGTTGACTTGACTTACTCCGTTGTGGTTTTTTTAAGGATCACTCAGAAAACCCTCTGGGTGCAGCAGTCACTCTGGCTCACGAGCTGGGGCACAATTTTGGAATGAATCACGACACGTTGGAGAGAGGCTGCAACTGCAAAGCATCTACTGATAAAGGAGGTTGCATCATGAACCCCTCGACTGGGTAAGTCCAAGGGTAAGCACTGGCAAGCTACACTTAGAGTGGGGAATTTGTGGTTTCATGTTGTGTTTCAGGAACATTTAAAGGGAAAAAGAAAAACCTCTTCACACCTGTCAAAGCTTCTCACGGTTATCCCCCTCGAGCTGAAACAATTAAATGTGTTATCAGAGCACAACATGAACAATTGTACCTGTCTATTTCCAGGTTAGTAGTGTGAGAGGCAAAAATGCTGTAAGCAACTGGTTAATTAAAAAACCAAACAAACCCACAACCAAACTGCATTGCAAGTGTTGAAGCAGAATTTCTCCTTCTCTCATCTTGCCAACTGAGTACCAGTCATAATAGGATATGAGCAGAGTCCCAAGGCCAAGCTATGATGAGTGTGTAGGAAATACAGTAATGCAGGAAATATATTATTAGACACTCTGCAAAGTCTTTGTCTTGTGCAGAGAAGGTTTTTAGTTCTGCACAAACTTCTGCATTTCACCCTTTGTTCTGAGTGTGTAGCAGTTTTAGCATGTGAGCAAATCAGATCTGTAAGGTTGGTGGGATTAGGGCTGTTCTGTGGCTGGAGGTTGATCTTCCAAGAAAAGAGATGAGTATTGTTTTGTAGACACTAAAAGTCCAGGAAACCTGACTAGAGTGACTAGATTCAGATTAGATGTTACCAGATAGACAGAGATTCAGATTAGATGTTAGAAAAAATGTTTTCCCTGTGAGGGTGTTCAGGCACTGGGATATTGCCCAGGGAGGTGGTGCAGTCACCATCCCTGGAGGTGTTTAAGAGGTGTCTGGATTTGGTGCTGGAGGATCTGGTTTAGGGTTTAGGGGTTCCAGCAGTGACAGGCTAATGGTTGGACTTGATGATCTTTGAGGTCTCCTCCAACCCTGATGATTCCATGATTCTGTGACTAGTTACAGCTTGGTTTGCTGTATTTTAAACTCCTGTTAGAAACTGAAGAATAAGATGAATGATTTCTCCATGTTCATATTCAGACTACGATGGATAGGATTAAACTGAAGTAACAGAGTAGATTTAGCAAAGCTCTCTGGTGGTAAGCGATGTGCTGGACTGGACCTGTGGAAATATTACTCCTTCTGACTGGAAGCTGGTAGGAACCAGCCAGGCAAATATCCACCAGCAGTGTAGGTATAGCTGGATGTGCTTAGAGCAAGAGGATGCACTAGGTGATCTTCTGTTGTCGCTTCCAGCTCCAGTATCACTCTGTGTGCTTAAAGTTCATCTGTTGCTTAAAAACCTCTGCTGGGAACTGTGATCAGCTCAACCTCTGCCTTTTCTGAGGCTGCATGTTTCTGGGAAAGAACGGGAGCAATGTGGGAGAGGCCAGGGAGTGTTGGGCAGGATTGCTCCCTGCTGGAGAGCCTAGCAGCAGCCTTGGCATTCCTTCAAAGACAAACTGTCACCCTCCATCAGGGCAGAAAGAGGGATTCTGGCCAGAGGCCAAGCACAGCAAGTTAAGAGACAAACAAAAGGGTTGTGTGCATGGAGGAGAATGAGAGTGATTTCTACAGTTTGGAAAAGCTAAGTAACTTGGCTGTTCTGAAACAATAGGTAGTAATTATCCATATGGAATTTCATTCTGCAGCATATCTCAGCTCATGTGCACACTGTTGGAACAAACTGAAGTTGGGGACAGGGCTCTGAGGTGAGGTGAGGTGATAACTCTGAGCTCCTGAAAGAAACATGTCAGCTTTAGTCATCTCAGCTGAGTTATTAGTTCAGCATCCAACTACTCCACTTAGGAATAAAGACAGGGATGCTGTCAGGACAGAGATTTCTGGACACTTTCTGAACTCATCTGGTGAAGGTGACATAAGGCAGCTCTTCCCTCGTTCTGCCTTCCTCACCAGAGTCCCTGTGTGTATCTGAAGCTGTCCTCAGTACTGGATGTGCCCATCCAGACACTTGGATTTGGTTGGCACAGGGCAAGGACAGAGCAATGTTGTACCCACTCAGTGTATTACTCAGGATATGAGGAACTGGCTGTTTCATTCCTCATTCCTTGGATGTGACTCCAAGCAGCTCAGCTCACTTGATGTTGGGGTTTCTGTGTACCTTACAGGTTCCCTCATTGATGCTGTGCCACTTCCAGCATCCCCCAGGTTTGGGAAGGGGATATCAGCTACACTTTTTAATGCTCTCCTTGGATTTTTACCAAACTCCATATTAAACATGTGCCTGAGGAAGAGCTGTGGCCTTCACAGTAGGCTGTTTTGTTTGCAGAGTGATTATTGATTTATGAATGGAAACTTTAACATCATGTTTATAGCCTTAGGCTTTACCTTCACACTGTGCTGGGGATCTGTAATATATATTCCAAGAGAATGCTTTATGCCTTAAGCCAAGTTGCATCTTACCAAGTTAAAATTAAGACTTTGAATATTTATTTACCCAACATCTCACCCATAGAATTCCTCTGAGCACCATTATTCAAGGAACACTGAAGAGCTTTCCTCTCTGGTAGTACAAGTCTGTTAAGGGAAGGCCAAATGAATATTCCCTGTCTGAAATGCAGCAAAAAAAATCAAAAGAAAGAGCATCCCAGGAAAGGCAGATCCAGTAAGAGAGACAACCTGGTCTCTCAGTATACTCATTGCACTCACTCTGTGCTCTCCTAATTTCTCTGTTTAAGGTGAATTTAATTAGTGCAAGGGAAAAAATCTTTGGGCTGAAGCTGGTAGAAAAAGTACTGAGAAGTCCTTATCTGATACATAAAAAGAATAGAAAATATCTAGTTTATAACAGAGAGGCCTCTGTGAAGTTCACTTCGGAGTCCTTGGTGTGGCTGAGCAGCAAAAGGGAATGTTTAAAGGCTTTTTACTTAGAGGGGATTTCATCAATTATTGTAATTTCTTTCAGTTCTTAGGTTTCAGTCTTTGAAGAGGTCTTGCAAATTACTTCTTGGTGGAAAAAAAATCTCCAGGGATCAGTGTGGAATTTAAACTCTGTTGGGTCTATCCTTTAATGAGCTTCCTATAGTTTTTACTCTTAAGAGGTACCAGCAAGATGTGTACCAGTTGTGTGTGAGCTGCAATTGCCTAAAGACTTTAGCAAAACACATCTTTTATAACATGAAATCAAACACAAACTCCCAAAAATTTGTGTCAATCCAGGACTTCTAGAGAGTCAAATATCTGCCATGAAAATCACATAAATCATAGAATCAACCGGGTTGGAAAAGTGGAGCTTGGACTGTGACACTGCGGGTGGAAGTGCCTGTGTTTTGCCTGGTCTGAAGGGTAGTTTGGGGCTCAGATTGGACATCAGGAGGAATTTCTTCACTGAAAGGGTTCTTAAGCCCTGGAATGTGCTGCCCAGGGAGGTAGTGGAGTCACCATCCCTGGAGGTGCTCAAGAAATGACTGGATGTGTCACTTGGTCCTCTAGTCTAGTTGACAACATGGTGATGGTCACAGGCTGTACTTGATGATCTCAGAGGTCTTTTCCAACCTAAATGATTCTGTGATTCTGCTCCAGCCAGGGGAACAGGTTTGTGTGATGATGACTGTAAGTGAAGAAAAAGGAGAAATGAGATCAATTTAACCTCTCAGCTCTCGATCATTATTTTAGAGGATTTTATGGAACTGTGTCCCACAGTAGAAAGGAACAGCTAATTTTGAGTAATTGCCTTTCAGTACACAATTTCCCTTTAATTATTGAGTTTTTGGAAACCGGGTTTGGGGGAGGAGAACAATTAGGAACACAGAAGGAGCACAGAGTAGAAATCACACGTAGAAAAACACTGGTTCATTTACTGTTGTAATTTGGAGGAGACATTTTGCTAACCAATCCAAAAACCACCCACTGTTATCAGTAGGTTTTTAAGTAAAATTAAAACCTTTATGTTAGAATTAAAGCAAATAGCCAATGGAAGCTGAACATTTGTGAGGGAGAGGGAGAGCAAATTATGACCTGTTAAGAATCAGCTGAGTGACAGTCCCAAGTTAAACTAATTGACTCAATCTAAGTACTGCTGAGGAGAAATGGGGGAAAATTAGAGATGAGAAGGACCATCAGTTCCTTCTTCCAGATACCACTGAAAAAGAGCATTGGTGCTCACTAGATTTTAATTCCCTCTAGGAGCTATTAGACATTGTGCACTGAGCACTGAGTATGTCAGTTGCAATTATGGCTAAATAAAATATTTAAGTGGAAACAGAGCCTTTTTTTCCTGAGTTATAGCACCAGATGTCTACAGCTCATAAGTGACACCAGCAAGACCATGAGTTGCACAGGAGACCCCATAAATGTGGATAGTCCTGTTTGCCTCACTGATGCTGAGCTGGACCATGGGCTCATTGTAGCAGTGGTTGGGACATCTGAGCACTCCCCTAGGAAACGTTTGCTCCCTGTTGCATGTTGCAGAGCTGTTCCCAACTGTTTGGAAGGCACAGTGCTGTGGGGTCTGGGAGAAGCTCTCCTTGAAAAGCAGTTTTCCTGCAAGTGAGAGAGAGATTTGATGCTTTCCTTTCATGTGTTGACTTCAGTGGCCAAGGAGAGGTGGATTTCACTTTATTTTGTGTTATAATTAAACCTCCATTTCTACTGGCAAAGAAAAACTGGGTTTATTGGCTCTCCCTCTGTTGACAGCCTCTGTAGCAGTTATATTATCAGAGACATCTGAAACAGCTATTTATTTGCTTTCTCCTCCTCATCTCCTCATCCCCATTTCATGCTTGCTTCACATTGCTGAAGGTCTTGGTTTTGTTTGCTTCCTGATTTCCTAGTGTAAATGCTCTAATTCAGATTCTGCAGCGCTCAGGCTGAAGATTTCTCAGGAGATTATGCTCAGGGTTTGCAAAAGGTTTAGCACTCAGGTGTAGCTGTTATTTCAGGAGTCCAGCAATCCATGCTCCCCCTTCCCCAAGCTGCTGGGGTATGAGGGTGCTGCTGGAAATGCTCCCCAGAGCCACTGAGGTGTCCCAACTTGGTGTCTCCCTATTAAAGTGTTTGGCCACACGTGTGTGAATTGTAGGATCTGG